AGAACTGCATGGACCCACTGAGAACTGATACTGACAGCAGACATTCCCCTCGCAGGCACGAGGCTGGGTTTCACCATTGACAACGGGAAGATCCACAACGTATCCCTGGGGCAAGGCCAGGAGGTGGTGGCAGAGCACGCCATGGAGGTGGCAGCTGCTGAGGGCCACTGGGTCATCCTGCAGGTGGGTGAGGGCAGTGGGGCACACCACAGGGCGCACAGCCCTGATGGCAACTGGCACACCAGGGCACAAAGTCCTGCCAGCGTCCAGGCACAGCATGCAGGGTCACCCCACTGCCGATGGGGTGCCAGCATGCACCCAGCCCCTTCCCCCTGTGGAGCCACAGTAGGAATCGGGGTGGGAGGGAAGTGAGATTCTCAAGGTGCAGAGAGTTTCTTTTGCAGAACATCCACCTCGTGGCCCGGTGGCTGGGCACGCTGGAGAAGCTGGTGGAGCACCACAGCCAAGAAAGCCACCCCGAGTACCGACTGTTCATGAGTGCCGAGCCAGCCCCCAGCCCCGAGACACACATCATCCCGCAGGGGCTGCTGGACAACTCCATCAAGATCACCAGCGAGCCGCCCACAGGCATGCGCGCCAACCTGCACGGAGCCCTGGACCTCTTCACCCAGGTACCCCTGTGCCACCCCCACGCTCCCACAGCTGCCTCCTGGGGCCGTTCTGGTCAGTGGGTACAGCTCATCCCCTCCAGGGCTCCACAGGCTGAGCACCTCGGGGGTGTCTCTGCTGCCAGGGACACTGACCTGGAGCCAGCCCTCGCCAGCACATCCTCCCGGAGTGCCCAGGAAGACAAGGGTTTAGGGGTAACCAGAGCTGCCCAAGGGTTTCCAACAAGGAAGTGCCAGGTTGCCAGTGCCTTTCCTGAGGCTGAACCTGGAGCTGCTGCAGCTTTGCCATGAACAAGCTGCCTCAGCTGTCAGCAGGGCATTGGGGTGTGAACTCCTAATTCTTTCATAAATAAATGAGTGCAAAAATTACCAACTAGCAAATCATTAAAATACAACAGTGTGCCTTTTTTTCCTAATGAACACTTTCAGTTCTCTTTTGCCTATGAGTGTTCTTCACTAGAGGGGCATCTGATAGCAGTATCGAGCTGCAACCCACCCTCACTGTTCCTCTGCAGGAAACACTGGAGCAGTGCAGCAAAGAGTCCGAGTTCAGGTGCATCCTGTTTGCCCTTTGCTACTTCCATGCAGCGGTGGCCGAGCGGCGCAGGTTTGGCACCCAGGGCTGGAACAGGTCGTACCCCTTCAACAACGGCGACCTGACCGTCTCCGTCAACGTCCTGCACAACTACCTGGAGGCCAACGCCAAGGTGAGGGATAGCGAGGTCACTGCTCCTCAGCACAGCACACGCTGCAGCAATTGGCCTTGCTTAGAACATCCACCAGTTTGCAGCACAAATGTTGTCTCATGAAGAAGCCCAGGGCCAGGAGCAGCTCCTCCCCTGCTCCCTGCACGCTCAGGCAGGGGAAGGGGATGAGTACTTGGCCTGACTGAGATGGCTGAAAAGGGCATCAGACACCAGCCAGAGCAAGTGCCTGCCCTGGCCCACCAGCCTGCCCCAACCTGTGCCTTGGTGGTTCCTAAAAAGCAAAGCCCTCCCCAAGAACACAGGTGCAGTGAGCAGAGCTGAAGTCTCACCTTTAGACCTGCCCTCACAGATGTGATCAGTGCTGGTTGGAAAAAAGACAGGATTCAAACCATAGATGGCTGTGTTCATAGTGGGACAGGGAGAAATCTGTGGGTGATCAAGAGACACCCCTCTTCCCAAGCCTCTGTGGGTCCAGGGACTGTCACCTCTGCACAGGTCAATCCTGGAGCCATCAGTCTGTGGTTGCATGGGGAACTCCTGGGGAGCCACTCAGGAGTCCCAGCTTGAGCCTCTCCCTGCAGGTTCCGTGGGATGACCTCCGGTACCTCTTTGGGGAGATCATGTACGGGGGGCACATCACGGACGACTGGGACCGCCGGCTGTGCCGCACGTACCTGAGCGAGTACGTGCAGCCCGAGATGCTGGACGGGGAGGTGTCCCTGGCTCCAGGATTCATGATTCCTCCCCGCATGGATTATGAGGTAAAAAACATTGCAATTTGCTGTAGAAAACCCCTGCTCTGGAAAAATGGGCATGGGCCCACATTCCCCTCCCGCTCACCAAGGGGAATGTAGGGAGAGAGTTCAATCCCCTGGGAATGTGCAGAGTTGCTGCAAAGGTAATTCCTGTGGTTTGAGATGGAAAGGGAAAAACTTGGCTGAGACACAAGTTAAAAAGGAGCATCCGTGCCCATGCGCAGGTGCCATAAAGGGCCCCAAGATGGGTTTTTCAAGGTTGCAGGGAATTTTGGGCTCCTTTGCCTGCACTTCCAAGCTAAGGCTGGCCCTGACGCTGCGCTCAGGCCTACCACCAGTACATCGATGACAACCTGCCAGGAGAGAGCCCCCACCTGTATGGGCTGCACCCCAATGCAGAGATGGGCTTCCTGACCGTCACCTCGGACAGGCTCTTCCGCACCGTGCTGGAACTGCAGCCCAAGGAGTCCGAGGCTGCCGGAGGCTCCGGTGTCTCCCGAGAGGAACAGGCAAGTCAAGTCCTTTATGGCAGAAATTAACTGGTTTTTTTAAGGTGGGGCGAAATAATTACTGTGGAGAAAAAAACCTCTTAAGGGTGACAACTGAGAGGCTAGAGAGGGGAGGCAGATAGAGGTCTGGAGACACCTGAGAGAGGAGACCCCATAGCAGGAAGGGATAGCAGAGGGAGGGGATTCCAGCCCAGCCACGCTGGGGTCATCGGCCCAGGGATGGCAGCACACACAGCACAGAGGCAGCTGGCAGCATGGCCAGGAACCTCACCCCCAATGAGCCAAGATGCACCACTGGCAACATGAGGCTTACGTGGGGCTCCTCAGCAGATGGAGCTGCTAAGAAACCTCCATTCATGAGACAACTACTAAAAACAAAGATTTAAAAGAATGTTTTTTAGTCTTCTTCCTGACTGCCTGGACTTTACACTTGAATTTACAGCCTTCATGACTTCAGGTCTCTTACCTTGGCTACCAAAAAAGAACTACAGCTTTTTAAGACCCAAGAGCAGTCAATAACAGAATGGAGTGTTAGTAACAGAGGAGAAGGTACAAAGAAACACCAGAGCAGAAAAAGAAAAAAATCTTACCAACTTAATTAAATGGAACTTGCAGTACTTTTCTCTGGGCAAGAGCAGTTTATGGCATTCTCATTTCAGGTGAAGGCAGTCCTGGATGAAATAATCCAGCAGCTCCCAGATCCATTCAATATGGAGGAGATGATGGCAAAGGCAAAGGAAAAAACCCCATACACTGTTGTAGCCCTCCAGGAATGTGAAAGGATGAACATCCTGACCAACGAGATCAGGCGCTCGCTGAAGGAGCTGGACCTGGGACTGCAGGTACACAGCAGGCAGCTGCCTGGATCACCTCCCAGTCCTGCAAAGCACTCTCTGCCTTTGTGCAGCTCCCACCCACCAAGCCGTGCCAGGTGCAGCTGGGCAGCCCCAGCCTTCTGCTCCCTGAGCCCACGCACGTCCCTCGGGCTGTCCCGCCTCTGGCTGCAGGTTAAATTGCCTGGACTTTTCTCTTTTTCAAAGGGAGAGCTGACAATTACCTCTGAGATGGAAGAGCTGTCAAATGCTCTCTTCTATGACAGTGTTCCAGAATCATGGACACGTTATGCCTACCCCTCTCTCCTCAGCCTGGCAAACTGGTATGCAGACCTGCTCCAGCGGATCAGGGTGAGCAGAGTGCGTGTGGCTGTCAGAGCCCGGGGTGCCCCAGGACTCTCCCCACCAGTGCACTGCTTTATTGGTTACCGATTTATTTCTCAGTGTCAATTTAACCAGCCTGAAGTACCTGAAAAGGGCTGTTACTCCAGGAATGGGAGCACAAGTCTGACCAGGGTCCCCATTACAGTACATCACTGCAGCAAAAGAACATCATCTCCCCTCCCTCATTACAACCCTGGGTGTCCCATAAAAATATTAATAAAACTGGCTTTGTTAAAAAATAACAGCAGCACTTTCTGCACTATGAATTCAGGGTTTCAGCTTCATTGCTGCAGGGGAATCTGCTGCTTATTCCTCCCACACCACCTCCAGCCAGTCTCCATTCTGCAAGATCAGCTGAAGCTTGGGTTTTACACAGCAAAACGTCAGCGCTGTCACAGTGCCCTGCAGCTCACAGCACGCCCTCCACCCTAAAGGACTCTGCTGGTTTATTTTCCAGGAACTGGAAGTCTGGTCAACAGATTTTGTGCTGCCTGCAACAGTGTGGCTGGCGGGATTCTTCAACCCCCAGTCCTTCCTCACAGCCATCATGCAGTCCACGGCCAGGAAAAAGCAGTGGCCACTGGATAAGATGTGTCTGGCAGTGGATGTGACCAAGAAAACCCGCGAGGAAATAACATTTCCCCCTAGAGAAGGCTCCTACGTGCATGGGCTGTTCATGGAAGGTAAAAACCGCATCTTTGGTGTGTTTCAGACACGGAGCAGGCCCAGCTCAGGCCTTCTCCCTCGTGCAGTGTCAGCACTTGCTGGCCGGTTTGCTCTGCCCCGTGCTGGCGGCAGCTCAGAGCAGGGAGCCCTGGGTGCCCCTGGGTCCATCTGGGTCCATCTGGATCCAGGCTCAGCCGCCAGCTGAGGGCAGCACTGCCCGGATCACACAGCCTTTCCAAACCAGAAATTTGTGTTTTAGCAATTCAGGCTCCAGCTCATGAACCCCAGGGCTCCTGGAGCTACAAGGCTCTAGTGAATACATTTGTGCTCGAGCATAGTTGATGCTCGAGTAAGACAAATTGAGAACTTAAATCCATGATAATTACTGCTAATGAGAGGAAGGAGGCAGTTCAGCAGAACAGCTGGGAGGTCCACTTGGACAATACGGGACAGCACGTGACAGATCCCACCACAGCCAGTTCACCTTAAACTCTGCAATTCCCACATAAAGCCATGCTGAAGGGAGGGGTGGGGACAGAATTTATTCAGACATCCCACACACAGTAAGGCAAATGCAGTCGCGGGTCACAGTGAGATGAGAACATGTCAGACCTAACCACCATTGAGCCACTCCACCCAACCTTAGCCTGGGAGCCCCCAGCCGTGCGTAGCTGTGAGGAAGGGCCCTCGGGGAGCAGCCCGGGGTGGCAGGGTGCCCTGACGGCTGTCACGGCTGTCACTGCAGGTGCGCGCTGGGACGTGCCCTCGGGCTCCATCGCGGACTCGCGCATGAAGGAGCTGACGCCCGAGATGCCGGTGATCCTGCTCAGAGCCGTGCCCGTGGACCGCATGGACACTGTCAACGTCTATGAGTGCCCCGTCTACAAGACACGGACGAGAGGGCCCACCTACGTCTGGACCTTCAACCTGAAGACAAAAGAAAAAGCTGCCAAGTGGGTGCTGGCTGGTGTGGCGCTGCTCCTAGAGGCCTAGACTTTAAAGACAATGGAGAACAGCAGTACTTTTATTTGTAAAAACCTCCACGTTGTGTAACTCAGTCTATGTTTGATTGTACCAGAACCATTTTAGCAAAGTATCAATAAAACCAGTGCTGGAAGCACTGCTGTGTGGAGCCTGCTCTCGCAGCACAAGAGGTTCTCAGGGCAGATCCAGGTTTTCCACTGGTGGTTTCTGACGTGGAGCTGGTGGGGAGCCAGACCACCGTGGGAAGCCAGACAGACAACTGCACACAAGTGCCCAACTCCTTTCCCTCTTCTGGCTCTCCATCTTCCCACAGCTCTTTGTGTGATGGCAAACTGAGCAGAAACTCCTCATGCTCCTGCATGGAGCATCTGTCTGGCTGGAGCAGACGGGAGAAGAAAGGTGCAGATTTGGTCCAGTTCCCCCACACCCAACCTGCATAGCCCAGAGAAGGTCCAGCTGCAAACAGGTTCCTCTCTCAAGTACGCTATTTCTATTTCTAGGGTACCGAACCTACTCAGCCTTTTCTTGGCAACAAATAATCTGTGTCAGCAGTAACACACACTAAGGTGAGTAGATCTGCCAAGGCTGGTGCCTTTGGTATAAAACAATTCACCAAAATCCCACTCTGTGAAATATTTGAACAATTAGTTCTAAAGTACAGTTGCCTCAAACTTTTCTCACAGCTCACAGACAGACAAACCCCAAGGGCAGGCACAGAGAGCAGCTCGTTTCTTTACAGAGTAGCAGTATTTATAATCAGTTATGACCGAATTTCACACTTACCATCAACTTTTTTCAGGTGCCAGAAATCCTGCTTGTGGCACTGCCAGATCAGAAACCCTTGCTCACACCCTACCTTGCACTCCCACACCTTTTTACCTGGCTTCCAAACACCTTCTTTGTAGGATGTTATGGTTCAAGCCTCCTACTTCCAGCAAGGAACATCCCAAACCCACACCAGCCCCAAAAGTCTTCTCCTGCCCTTTCACAACTCAGGAAATACACTTGTAACACATCTGAGCGTGAAGGAGCCAGGCAAACCCTGCTGAGGGGATGTGGGAACATGCAGCACCCTGGCACACGTGCAGCAGTGCCAACTGCAAGGACTATGCCCAGCACAGGAACAGCCTGGAGCTCACAAGGGCTCGAGTCACAGGGCAGTGGAACCACCAGGACCCCAGGACACCACAAAACAGAAAAGAAAAACCAACTGCCCCTGTTAACCAATGCTACAGGGGCAAAGCAAAGCCCTGACTGGATACAAAGACAAAACATTTTAAGTATTCCAGCAATGCTTTCGATTGGCTGGTCAAGACAGCACAAACACAGTCTGTCTCTCTCTGTGAAACTCTGAAAGGGACATTTCAGAAAGGGAGTTTTATTTCCGTGCATGGAAAATACCACTGTATGGGTTCTCTGCCAGTGGCCCTTTCCAGAAACTCTAGTAGACAAAATCCAGTCAGGACCTGAGCACTGATCCCAGTCCCTGGCAGCCAGTACCCCAGAGGAATCGAGAAGTTCTGGTTTTCCCCTCATCATCTGCGTGTCCATGAACTAATTGCTCAAATCTTTCTTTCATGACAGAGCACTACAGTCAGTGCAATATAATTCCCCATAATGGCAGCAAACTCACCCAAAGCAGCAACTTTTCTCCTTTCAAAAGAAATTCTTGATCAAAGGTGTCACCAGCTTCACCCACAGTTTCACATAACGACTTGGCTGCTCAAACGTTGATGTTGAGACCACACCTGAGCAGAGGTAAAGCTGCTCTTGCTCCTGAACAGGGAAAGAAACATCATCTCAGTAAATCCCAAGTGTTAAATTATATAATGGTCCTTCAGAGAAGCAAGTTCTTAGATAAAGCTGACCAGGGATCTTACCACAAGTATGCACCATTTCTCCTCAAGAATTTGCAATTAAAACTCTACAGAGAACAAGGGTAGAGGGTTTTGCCTTTTTGTGCCCCACAGCTGCATGAGCTGAGCTTCAGTTTCAGAAAACTCCTCAAGGCCAGGCTGTAATTGCCAGAAAAGGAAACCTCACCCAAACCTCCTGGGACTGGCTTATGCAGCTCTTTCTAGACACAGCTCAGGCGCCGTGTTTGCAGATGAATGTTCAGTCGTGATCTCAGCTAAATTACCAGAAACACTCGGGCCCCCACAGCGTGCACCCAGTGCTGAGGGAGGAAATGAACCACCCTGCTGATAACACACTCACAGCACGTGAGAGCAGTGCTTTGATCACAGCTAAGTGGGGTTTTTAGCACAAACACTCAGGTTTCAGGATCTGCAGGCAAACGAGGAGCAGAACAGCTCCTGGAAGTTTGTTCATCATCTTTTTTTCATCACTGAAGCTGTCACAAACAGCAGAAAATACTCTGCACTATTTAAATTCAGGGTGGAACAAGGAAGCAGGAACCAAGTACTGGAAAGTAACATCAAAAAGATGAATCAACACATTAATCTGCCAATTCACTCCAATTTGAGAGCCCTCAAATGCTCCAAGAGCCATAGTCAGCCCTGCTGTGAGGATTCTGCTCCATGACCATCCATTATGGTGAGATCTGAGCACCAGAGGCAAGGCCAGTTCCCTGAATCAATCTCAGTTCATTCACAGAAGCACCCAAAGACACCCAGACCACTCACATTTCTTCCCAAATCTCAGCACACATTTTTAAAATGGAACTGAACATTACACAGGCAAAGTGATTTCATGGCAGCATCCCAGGAATGGATTAAGTCTTCTAAAAAAGACCACAGAAAGTAAACACCCAGCCCATCTCAGAATCAGCTTCCAGCAATCGGGAATGGTTTAAAGCCCTTTGAATGAGATCACTGCAGCTCTGTGTGAGAAAATTCCTTTGTGTCACATTTCCATTGATTTTACCCTTCCATTAGAAACAAGCAGAGGCAAGATATGAATTGAAATACTCAAGCAACTCTTCCAGTAATAGAATTGTTTTTGATTAGATACACTCTGACTCATCCCAGGGAAGAGCCCTGATGCAAGAGGGCAATTCCCATTGATCTTGCATACAACTCTGCCAGCACCTGCCTCACACAGTGCATTTCTGAGGTCTCCAAGTCACACAGAGGCAGAAAACATCTGCTTTGAAACAGAACACTGCAGGAGAAATTACTTGGGACAGTCAGTTCTAGCAGAAGATTCAGTCAAGACAGCTGGAGAAGCAGGCAGGATTCGGAGCAGCAGCAGAACTGCTGAGCATTACAAGCTGCCTAATTAAAAACAGCACAGAAAAACCTTGGGACATTGAATATCAAACCACTTAAAAATATTTGTGTCAAGATTATATAATGTCATATTATTATTATTAAAGATAAGGATTTTGTCATAGAACTTCATGGGCATCCCAGCCAGTCCAGAAACTTTTCCAGTCCAAGCTCAGACATTCCAAGGGCCTGGCCTCATTAGCCCAGAACCTGCCAGGCCCTGGGCAATGCTCAGATGCTGGGGTTAAGGCTCAGAGGCACAGCGTGGCTGGTGAGCAGAGGAGTCAGCAGGTCCTCCAAAGGCTCTGTGCACATCCAGCCCTGAGCACTCCCGAGGTCACTGGGGACACACATTCCTTCCCGTTATGGCCTCATTTCCCAGCACTGGGTACTTGCAGCAGGCAGCTCATCAATAGTCACTTCACTGACAGCTCCTCAGGACTCCCCATGCTCCAGCAGCTTCTGAGTTATTGTAGCTGGAGGTTTTTACTGCCACTGCGTCCTCAGCACTCCCTGTGTGACCCAGAAGTACAACATACCCCCAGCTTCCCCACAATCTGCTGCTTACCTGATGCAGCTGCTGCTGCAAGGCTTTATTTTCTGTCACTATTGCAACCTGAGCTTCCAAGTCACGATGAACTGATCGATATCCAAAATTTGGAGAGCCAATCAGGGTCAGGCAGGGCAGGTCACTCCCTGCCAGGTACAACCAGAGGCCTGCAGGAAAAATGAGGAAGAGAGGCAGCGTGACAGCCAAGGGAATGGCCAGGGTGAGCTCACATGGTCCCTTCACTCAGACTGAATTAAATGCTTTAAACATGGATTACAGATTCTGTACAGGACCTCGAGAGCACAGAGCAGCCCAGCAGGGCCTGCAGGGCTGCTCTGCTGTGCGCAGCGTGTGCCATGTGTGCCATGTGTGGGGTGTGTGCCACGTGTGGGGTGTGTGCCACGTGTGGGGTGTGTGACATGTGTGGGGTGTGTGACATGTGTGGGGTGTGTGACATGTGTGGGGTGTGTGACATGTGTGGGGTGTGTGACATGTGTGGGGTGTGTGACATGTGTGGGGTGTGTGGGGTGTGTGCAGTGTGTGCTGTGGGGGGAGTGTGGGGTGTGTGCAGTTTGTGGGGTGTGTGCCATGTGTGGGGTGTGTGCAGTTTGTGGGATGTGTGCCATGTGTGGGGTGCCCTGGCACAGCCCAAATCAGGGCTCTGACTGGGAGTGCAGTGGCCCCAGCGCACCCCAGGAACACACTGCCCCAAAACAACCCAGAGCAAGTCCCGCCACTGCATTAGAGGCTGTTTTGCACCACAGTGAATTCAGAAACACTGAGAGAAGACAAACAGGTTTTCAGTGAAGGAACCAGCCCCAAAGGCCCAGCCAGACAGGCTAAGTCTGTCCAGCCTGTCCCAGGGCCAGGGACCAGCCCCCATCTCGGGACCATGACATGAAGAGGCACCTCCAGCTCTGGCAGTGAATTCACATGCCACTGTGAAAAGACACAGAGGAGCCACCAGGAATGAGATCAGACTCATGCCAGGGCACCTGGCCCCCAGTGCCACTCACCAACACAGCTCCCACAGCTCTGCCAGCACAGAGAGCAGGACAGAGCCCAGGACAGGTTTTCAAGGGAAAGATGGAAACATCACATTATTCTCAAGCACATCACTGCAGCAGGGCAAGAAGGAACAGCCACAGGAGAATCAGGACTGCTGCCAAGGAGAGGCTGTGTGGCCACTCTGCACAAACGGAGCCAGAAAGCCTTTGCTCTCCTCAGCAGAGCCCTGGGTGAGTCTCTGGTAGAGGCTTATCCCCATGGCTGGTCACACACAGACTGCAACAAAGAACCCGTAGCATAAAAACCACCTCGGCCTTAAAATAGCAGCAGGTTTCCCAACTCAGCCCCAGAGCAGTTCCAAGAATGCCTTGAGTAAGATGCTGCCGATTCACTGCCAGTTCCTGTAAGCTCCTCCCCACCCCCACAGCACAACTCAGAGAGCTGGCACTGCCCTAATGCCTCCAGTCCCCGCGGGCTCACCCCACCACAGCAGGGCTGGACAGCCCACCATGGGCCCTGAGAGCCACATGGCAGAGTTTTGTCACGTTCTGCCACCAAACAGGACCCTGCCAGGGGCTGTCTGGTGCCTGACCAGCCAAAGGCTGGACCTCTGCCCAAGCAGCAGCCATGAGGAACAGATTCCTTGCCTTCCCAAGTGTCCTGTGGCAGTCCCACAGCCTTTATAGCTCTCTGGTTTCACGGCCATCTGTCAGGATCTGCTCCAGCAGTGACTCACCTTCCAGCAAGGGGAAGCGCGGCTTCCCAGCGCCAGTCAATAGCACTAACAGGGTTTATCTCACAGCACACACCACCTGCCCAGCACCCTGTCACCACAACGTGCTTGGAAGGGATCCCTGACCCCAAGGGATGCCCCCATGTCACCCCCAACATCACACGCAGGGAAGTGGCAGGTGGGCTTTGGGATGGACAGCTGCTGGCAGTCCTGCTCAGACGTGCACCCCATCTGTGCAGAGCTCTGCCACACCTGTGTGGGCACCCAGGAGAGACATCCCTGGGCACCACCTGACACTCTGCATGCAGATACAAACAGGTTAAGGGGAGCAGGAGGGGCACGCAGCACAGCCCCAGTGTTTGGGGATCCCATGGGAGACTCAAGGGTGTCTCATGTCTCAGCCCAGAGAGGAAGCACCAACAGGCACTATTTGCTGCTGGGAATCTCATGTCCTCAGCCAGGAGCTAGGCTCCATGTGCTCCTTGTGCACATGCCCTTCACATCTCCAAGGCTTCCTCCCTTCCCTCTTCTGTCCTTGTCCTCTCTGCCACACCATGTGACTCCTGCAGAAGGAAATGAGGTGAATCCAACATGTGCCAAGGGCACAGCATGCCAGAGGAGGAGCTGCACACTGATCCGCCCAGCACTCTGAAAGAGAATGGAAAAAAGGCAGCAAATGTCTCCAGCTGTCCCTCCTGCTAGGCATGGGAGCTGCTGAACTCCAAGCCCTGCATCCCCCTCCAAGCAAACACCACACAGCAGAGAGCCCAACAGGCCTGGCTGGCCAAACAGGACCATCTGCACTTTGGTAACTGGGAAAAGCAGCCCTCGTTTCTGGGCTCAGTTTATGCCAAACCACATCCCACTGGGAGTTAGCAGTGCCCAACAAAGGCAGAACCTGGGAACCACAGATGGCTCAAGCATGTGCATCCTGAAAGGCACGGAACACCCCAGGCAGGCAGGCAGGGCCCTCCCTCGAGCTGCCCTGGGTCAGATAAGGGTTTTCCCTGCACTCCTGGCCGTGCTGGGGAGGGGCACTCTGAGCCCTGTTTGTCATTTCAACACAGAGGCACCCACTAGCACCCAGGGATTTTTGACAGTTGAGAGAAGGCCAACTGGGCAGCTTTCCCTCCCCGCCACCTCTGAGGCTCCCTCTGAGCACTCCTGCAAGAAGCAGGAGGATGGAGCCATTCCTGCTAACAGCTCTCTTCAAAACAGGCATGGCTGGAGCCCCTGTGTTCCAGTCACAGCCCAAACACTGCAGCTCAGCTGGAGCACTGTGCTGGCCTGTGGGAGCTGGGCACAGTGTATCCAGCAGGAATTCAGGGTCTCCCAGAGAAGACCTCGAGGTTAGCATTCATTAACTCACTGCATGTTAGTCCACATTCCTTCCTCAGCCCCTTGCCCTCTGGCTGCAGTGGCTCCTGTAAGCACATGCTGCAGCTCCTCACACTGCACCCCGTGAGCTGGGAACGGGAGCTGTGCAAATCCCTCAACACTGACACTGTCCCCACACAGACCTGCTGCTGGGAAGGCCCTGGGAGCAGCTCCCGTCCAGCACCTGCCCCCAATACTGCTGCAGGGTCCCCAGCAGAGTCAGCACTCCTGCCTGCTGAAACCAGCCCAAGGGATACCAGACACTGCACCACGGCACTGACTGCATCACAAACACATCCAGATGCTCCCTTTCCTTCACATCACCTTTCTCATGAGGCAGTGCTTCAGTGTCACCACAGGGACAGCTCTCACATCATCCCTGTGACTGTATTGAACCAAAGGCAAAGGCAAGGCGTCCCCCAAGTGATCCAAACCCTCCAGGGTTACACAAGCACGCTGTTTGAACCTTGGAGGAGTGTTTTGAAGTTTAAACCTGGACTGGCACCCAGCCAGCCCCTTACTCCTTTCGCAATCCAAATGCACAGCTCTCTCACACTTCTGAACAACTCCTGGGGATAAGGGCACCTTACCTTTGGCATGGAACGTCCACCCAGCACGGGAGTACTCCTGCAGCTGCACCCTCTCCTGCTGCTGCAGGCAGCAGACCTCACTGTAAAACTGATGTTCAATGTAAACATAGGCAGCAGGGATGGCACCTGCCACCCCTTTGGCACCAAAAAACCCATTGACCTCTGGCGAGGCCAGGAGGATCCGGTACTCGGCCCTTGTGCCCAGGATGAGGTCCATGTAGGCCTGTGTCAAGTTGAAGTAGCCAGTGGTGAGGTATATCCTGGCATCCCGCTCAGCCTCTGTCAGCAGTGTCTCTGTGACCATCTCGTCTATTTGAATCCCAAAAGGTTTCATTTGGATTAAGGGATAGATCCAGGTGTCAGGTTCCGGTTTCAGACTCCCAGATGCTTGAGAGCCTTGCTGGGATAAGAGGGAGCTGCCTGGCTGGCTGCTGTGGAAAGTCTTTGCATGAAGGAGCTCCTGCCGTGTGCGGGCAGAGTTGATGACCTCCATGACCTTCCGGTGGGCAATCTCGCAGTAAGCCACTTTGTCTCCTGCAGGAAAAGTCAGAGAGATGTGTCTGAGCTCCACAGGCACAGAGCTACGTGTCACCTCTTACACACCAGGAAAAGCTGCTGACAGGACATGGACACAGGAACAAACAGGAGCCAACACAGAGTGCACACTCTGTCTTAAGGCCCAAACCAGCTGTTTCAAGGTCAGCAGAGCTACATTACAGAAGAGAAATGCTCAGCAACTGGCAGCAGCCTGAAAAATCCTCTGTGAAAGGAGAGGACGAGGGTGAGGCTACACTGACAACCAAGAATGAGCTGGAACACACAAATAAACTCCCACCCCCAGCCTGAACTTACATCACCCAGCAGTGCAAGGCCAGGACAAAAACTGATGACGCAATCAGCCTGGCACTTCACTGCCCTTCTCTGCCCAATTTTACGCTTGTTCCCAGTCTTCCTGAACTGATTCCCATTGGATTCCCAGAACAAACTCTACTACAAAAGATTAATTACCAACAATAGCAGCACATTCATAAACCCTTCAGAACACGCACACCCAGAGCACCTGGAATTGCAGCTGCTAGTATCAGAATGAACTTCTCAAAGGACTGAAGTTCTTGTTTAAGGCCAAAAGCAGCACATTTATGAGGCAGAAGAGTTACTTCCAGTCTCTGCATGCCCTGTCAAATCAGCCTGTGACAGCCACTGTGCTGGGAAAACCCCAACAGACCCAGTACTGAAACTCAAGCAGTCTTGATTATAATACTGGATGCCACAAAACAGGGCACCCCACAGCCTGAACAATGGTCCGACACCCAGCAATTCCCACACAGATGGAGCCTAAGCCATCCTTAAACCCTGGCTGTCACTCCTCTCTTCTGGATCCCATCACTCAACCAGCTGAGACAACTCCCTCCTACCTTGGTACGGGTGTACCATTCCCTCCATTATCTGGACTGTATCATCCTGCTGTAACTGCAGGGACACATCTCCAATTGCATCCACGAGCTCCGTGAAGAAGTCTGCGATCTCGGGAGAGTCCTGCAGCAGGACGTAGCGGTCCTGACGATTGGTGAAGTACAGATCACTCAGGTTTGCACTGAAGAGAAAGGGAAGAGACGAGTTCAGAGCATGGGCACAAGATTCTCAACCTCCCAGGCTAGGCTACAGGCCTCACTCTGGGATAGCTGCACTAAAGAACAAATTGGCCATTTCCTTCAGAATCTCAAAATATTTTTCTCATTAAGAAAGACTTGCTTTCATCTGAGAATCTCAGGTGCAGGATCTATGGTTGATCTCCCATCTCAGAAGAGGACTGATAGGATCACCATGGAGTCCAGGTGTTCAGACAAGGCTGGCAGCACAGACAGCCTGCCCAAAGGCCAATGAAATGATGGCACCAAGGCACAGAGCGGGACTCACCCGCTCAGGATCACGTTGTCATCGAAGAGATAGACCTTGATGTGCTGCAGCCCAATGGTCTCGTTGAAGCGCTCTGGAATCAGGAGCCGGAGCAGTCCACGCAGGTTTGGGGTGTGGAAGAGGGACACGCGGACCTGCTCGGGAAATCGCTGCAGCAACGGGATCAGCATTGTTCGAGAATTCTTCCTGCCTGGCAGAGGAAGGGAGTTTCAAACAAAGATCACACCAGACAGGGCACACCATGACACAGCTCTTCAGCTGGTCACAGGGTGAGCACCCCTCCCATCCACTGGCACTTCACATGTTTTCCTTTCCTCTTTGGTTTTTTTAGATCACTTTCATTTGCACTATGTCAATATTGAAACTGACATTCAGAATCAGGGCAGGTCTGACACTTTTCAAGCTTCTTAACCAAGCCTCACCAGCAGTGGTAACACATCTACAAGAGTCACTGCAGATGAGCACAGGTTCCTGATTCAGTGTGCTGCTGCTTCCAACAATTCCCATTCTCCTTTCAAAATGAAAATGTAAGTGAGCATGATGGGTAAGGGCAAATGCACTAACAAATGAACCAAGCAAGACTATACCAGCTGCATAGAGTAGTTTGGCCCTTCTTGCCCCTACCACATATTTTTGGAAGAAAAGCTGTTCAACTTGAAGATTTTTTTTGGAATATGCAGTTCTGGAACACAACAGGACAATCCTGAAGTGTGCATGTTTTAAGCAAGTAGGTCCAACTGGCCAAGATACCCACTCTGAAAAGAACTGTCTCCCTAGCCTAAGAGTGAAATCAGGCTCTGACAAAAGCAATGAGCGGCAATTCCTACCCCGGGAACCCCTGGTGTAGTCGAGGAGAATGGAAACTCTGAGGTCAGGTGAGCCTTTTGCTTGCAGTGATTTCTCCAGTGTTTCTTCTAAGCAATACACCTGCAGAGAGAGTTCTCTCCTCATTACAAAAGCAAATACACTTTCCAAGGGAAGTGCTCAGCAGCAGGAGACCCTGGCCAAGACAGCTCCCACACCCTGGTGCAAGTCTTTCCTCCTTGTGCCAAGCACAGCCAGTTCAGCCTTTGCATCTGCCAGCCTGGCAGCCTTCATCAGCCTAAAGCCACAGATCAAAGGGCCTCAGTTTTACATGTCCGCATTCTTCAGGTCTCACAAGAGCAATTAATGTTCACAGAAAAAGTCCCGATATCATTCCCAAATCACAGACTTGTATCACCAAAGACAAACATTGGCAGGAATTCACTGCATTTTTATTCTTTAACTACAAGGTTGTTTGTCACATGCAAATTCAAATCCTATGTGCAAGCCCAGACAAAGTTGGGCATAAATCCTATGCAGACTCCATCCACCTTTACCCTGCCAGGGCATTTGCTTCCTAACATCAGAACCTGGCGTAGGCCAGGCTTCTTCCTCAAGCCTTTGGGCAAAAATGCTTTTGATTCCAGAGGAACGAACAAAAAAAGACAAATACCATGAAGCAAAGCTGACCTCAGTCTCAAATACAGAAAACCAATCCTTCATCTGTGTCCTGGAGCACCAACACAGCACCACACAACTACAGCTCGAATCCCATTCAAGAAAAATAGATTCCCATGACCTGAGTTTTACAAAGCCCCCCTGAGCACTCTGAACAGCAGGCCAGTCCCTTCTGACAGGTCCAGGCTAACCATCCCCTGAAGAAGTGCAGCAGTTCCCTGGCTCTATACCAGACCTCAACCAGAAGCGTGCCTCCCTTGCACATCCCTCCCCTGCATTCCCTTCCTGGCCTTCCCAAACCCTTCCACACTCACCAGCTCCTGCTCAAGGACTCCTGTTCCCAGGTACAGTGAGGCCATCACCACCCGCTGCTTGGCTGCTTTTATCTGCACCTGGGAGCAGCAAAACACAAGTTCAGTTTCACACAGGGTCCTGAGGAGCCATCAGTCCAGACCCGGCAGTGCTGCACTCTCCTGGGAGGATGCCCTCAGCCACGTCTCTGCTCTGGCTCCCTGGCCTTGAGGGAGGAAAGGTAACACATGGACAGTGCACGTAAAACACACAGAGCTCGGCGGAGCCACAGCAGAACCACTGCTGCCTCTAAAATTCAAGGAAGAAACCAGTCCTTCCTGGGAAACTGAAGAGCACACTCCCTGCAGCTAAACTTACTCCATATGAGAACAGTTACTAGGCAGCAGCTGCAAAACTGGAATTGTATAAAACCATTCCCACAACCTGCAGCCCACACCTTACCTTCAGGAGTTCATAGAATTCCGCCGGGGATGAAAGCACCTTGACATGCGAGCTGGAGATCCCAAACTCTGGGACCAGATTCCTGATCCACTGGAACCTGTGCGCTCCTTCTGGACAGAGTGAACACGGTGGGGCTGTGATCACTGGAACAGGAGGAGTGAGTAGTGGGGCTAAAAGGAGCCATGATGATCTGTGCAAAAAAATAAAAGGAGAAATTCTTTGTAGCGAAACTTTTGCGTCCCAGCAAGATTCCAAGCAGCTAAAGGAAGAACTGCAGCCAGAGCCAATACATGGCAGGGATCCACAAAGGCAAGAATGCCTTTCCCTTTCTTTCCACAATACGATCTGGATCATCAAAACCAAATGTAGAAACAGAGAGACACAGGGCAAAATGTGGGTAAACAGATCTGAACATCACCAGCTCCTCCCCTGAGCTGGCACGGAGATGAGGGGAAACAACTACTTCATCAGGACAACATGGGAGGGGAAGGAGGCCAGGAGCTGCAGAAAATGAGAGTGTGGATGCTCAGGTGTCTGGCAGTGCTGCGTTGGTACCACCTGTACCTGTAACCAGCCACTTCTGAATTATCTCCATCACACACACATCAGCTTCATCATGGCCAACCCTCCCTCCATGTCAGCTTTGTTCTCAGCTGGGCTGAGGTCACCTTTCAGGTTTAAAGATCAGGCTGCTTTAAAGAGAAAAATGCCTCCATCCCTCAACCTTATCCAAAAATAGATCTACAGCACACAGGTTGGCCAAGTGCATGCCTCAGCAAAGGCAGAGCAATCCCACCCCAAGAATGACCCTCAAAAGGAGAGACTATGTCCCAGGAGGAATGCACCAAGAGCCACAACAGGGATCCATCCCTGTCCAGCAATGACACCAGCATTCGCAGAAGCGCAACAGTCACAACTTCCCCTGCAAACCTCACAAAAGGGGAGCTTTCCACATGTTCCCTGTGAGGGAGAGGTCAGAAAACTCATTCTTCAAAAAGAAATTTCAGAACAAATTTAATTTCTTTGAAGTCACTTTGGGAAGAAACCAGCTTACTGCCAGCATCACGCAGTGGGTGACAGGAAGCAAGCAACAACTTCTCCTCTTGGAGGTTTCACACATGCAAATTCATCCACTCATAGAATAACCCCCCCCGGCAGGAGTCTGATCACATGACAAAACCACATTTCAGCACAATTAGCAGCAGCAGCTCCCATGAGATCCAGGAATCCATGAGCAAGGGACTGAACTGCATCCCTGAACCCACTGGAACCACTCCAGTCTGCAAACCCCACTCATGGGAGCTTCTTGGGATGGAACTGGGCTGCCTGTCTTACCCTGAGGAGCAGCAGGTCCTCGGGCCAGCAGGCAGCCACTGTCCTGCGGCCCATCCTGATGATTCCACCATCATCACACACCAAGAGGAAACTTGATCACAACCTTTACCAGAATTTGTTACGAGGAACTTCTGGCTTTTTTACCACAATCCAGAGCCCAAATGAACACAGATTCCAGGAAGATGATTTCACCCATCTGGTTCATGATACAACCCTGGATCTTCACAAGGTTTCCAAACGTCCTTACAAGGAAACCAGTTCATAGTGGCGTTTCCTGGCAAATCCACGAGTTTGTCACTCACTATTCATGAACAGCGACATCTGAGTCAGTCAGTGCAGGAATTCCTGGGATGGTGGGTTTTAACGGATCATGTGGACTGGGCTCAGCCTGAATACCCAGAAGTGACAGAGATCACCAGCACAGGCTGTTAAAAACAATGCAAATATCCCCTAAAAGGTGCAGAGAAAAATTAAAGCAGAACAGAAACACAAGAAATACCACTTTTCAGGCACATTCTCCTAAGTTTCTACAGAACCTGAGCACAACCTTCACACACCTTTGCTCACCTCAAGCCTCACAGGCCACATACAAAGAGCAGATTCCCTCTGTTCCATCTCTGCAAGGGAGCATGGCACACAGAGCTACAGGAATTCACGATGGATCCAAAAACACAGGGGTTTAAAACCCACCCAGTGCTCACCCCACAGAGCAGTGGCATTGTTGGGCTCTAACCCAGCCCCGCAGGTCACAAACAACATCCTCTGGAATTATTCCCAGGGAGGAAGCAGTGGCAAATTTTATGTATTTTACAATAACAATCAACAGAGAAGAATATTGTCCTGCTTATCTCATTGGCCAACCCAATTACCCTTCCAGAAGCCAGACCAGTGGCCAAGCAGACACTTTCCAGAAACATGGTTCCCAGAAGGCATTTTCTAGCAAGGACTGTTGGAACTGGGAGTCCAACTGCACCTGCCTCCCTGCCTGCCTGGAGCCAGGGGCAGCTCCCAGGGCAGCTCTGAAGGCTGCAGGCAGTGATGGGTTGAGCTTGGAGCATCTGGACTCTGACTGGAACATCTGAGGAACATCAACCTGCAGCACCAGTACTGTTTGGTTTGGTCCAGATTTATCCTCACTAACTGCATCCTCCAGATTTTTCACTCCCTAAGTAATTTACAGTGTGTCAACATTGTTTGGTCTTTCAACCCAATACTGAAATTTACAACTTATTCAGCACTGAGAACCTATGGCTTTTAGGATTATCAAATAAATCCGTATTTTGCTCCAGCCACAGATCCACTGGCACTGGCTCCCAGAGCAGCAGCCTCTACCCACCAGCGACTGACATCAGCTCAGTGACTACCCAGTACAACCAACCCTTCCAACCACGCACACACAACTATCAGAAACCATGTAACATTATGAAGAAATCATCAAAATTCCACACTGTGACAAAACAGGTTTCAGAGGAACAGAAAATGAACAAGGGGGGAGCCCTTTCCACGTACTTCACATCACTGAGTTAACCAGAAAGAGAAAACGGAATCAAAAGGAACCACCTCAGACCCCTTCTGAATAAAAAGTTTACCCTAAATAGAAACAACGGATTTTTTTTGGGGGTGTGTTTTATTTTTTAAAATGTAGGTTTGGTACAGAAACTCACAATGCAGCTGAAACTCCTATTCACTGTAAAACCTCATCTTCAGAGCCGGAGGTGAAGTGAAACTGGGGGACACAGTGCTGTCCTTTCACCCACACACAGCAGCACACAGGGGCATCTACACTGCTGCTCTGTCAACTCAGGGATTGCTTTCCAGGGCTCAGCCCAATTTATCTGCCCTAAAAACACTGGCGAGACCAAAAGAGAAGCGTGGCAAGAATTTCCTTGGTGTGAACGAGAGCACAGACTGACGATCCACCTCCTCCAGGAGCGCGGTGACAGCCGCTGGCTGTTCACGGCCGCCGGGCACTGTCACGGTGACAGCCGCTGGCTGTTCACGGCCGCCGGGCACTGTCACGGTGACGGCCACCGGGCACAGCGGGCCCTGCCCCGCTCAGCTCCCTGCCCGCCGGGCACACACGGGGCTGGTACCGGTTTCGGCCCCGTCCCGGGGGACACCTCCCCCTCCGCGACCACCCGGCCGGAGGGACTGAGCCGAGCACCCAAACCCGGCCGGTGCCACCCCGAGGGCTGAGCTGTGGCAGCCGCGGGGCGCCCACTGACAGCGGGAGGCAAGGACATGGGAAATAAAGCTCAGCTGCTGTCCCGAGGGCGATCGCACACTGGGGTGAGCTACAGGGGTCTGCGACAGCAGAGCCGACCCCGAGCCCGGCCTGGGGCCAGCGAGCCGCCCCTTTGCCCTACGCGGTTTTTCCAAGGGGCTGGGCCGGGCTGGAAAGGGGAAGCGGTGAGCGGGGGATGCCCCGGTAACGCGACACCGACTACGGGGGCGGCCGAGGGCTCCCACTGCCTCGCAGCCCCGGGAGAGGCGACGGGGTCCCGGCCGGTCCTTACCTGCGGGCGCGGCGGTCGCGACCGCGGGAGAGGCGGTCGGAGAGGCGGCCGAGCAGCGCGGCCAGGCCGAGGCGGCCCCGCGGCAGCCAGGCCGAGAGCCGCCACCACAGCGCCGCGCCGCCCGCCGCCATCGCCCGCGCCTTCCGCTTCCGCGCTGCCATGGCGACACCGCCTTCCGCTTCCGCGCCTGCCCGCGCCTCCGCCCCGCCCGGGCCCGGCCGCCGCTCCCGGGAGCCCTGGCCGTCCCCCGCCGTCCCTCCCGGCCTGCGAGCGCGGAGCCCCTGGAGGGCCGGGAAGGCTCCGGGAGGAGCTCACGGGGGGCTCGTTGTCCGGCGGGGCCGCGCCGGGGCTCCCCTGCTCCGCACACGTGGGACGGGCTCACCGCCTGCCCGGCAGTGTCACCCGCCGGTGTCTCTTCTCCGCCCGGGGCGAGCCCCGGCGCGGCTGAACGGCTCCGAAGGGATGTACACGGTTCTTGCCCGCGGCAGAGCCGGCGTTCGCCGCCCCGCCGGGCACGGCAGAGTGCGGGGACCGCGGGTCCCCCCGCCGGGTCCCGATACGGGGAGCCGGTCCCGCCGGCGAGCCCCGGAGCCGCGTCGTGCCCGTCCCGTCCCTCCCCCTCTATCCCGCCCGCCCCGGCAGCGCGCCGGGGCTCGTTTGCGTTTCAGAGCAGCCGATTCCCAGAACTGCCGCACTGGGTTGGTCTCTGCCGGGCAGCGGCCGCTCCTCCGGGGCAAATTAAACTGTTTAAAATAAACCCACGGACAGTGCTCGGGTTGTGTGCGAGCTCGGAACCAGCAATTGCCAAACGGGTGGGGAGAGGAGCTCCGGCGCCGCTCGTCCCGCCGGGCACCGGCCCCACAGGGGCACCGGCCGCGGGCCTGGGGCGGGGCGGAGGGCTGGGGAACCCCTCAGCCCCGGGGGCAGCCACGGACAGGGGCCCTCGGTCCTGCCGAGCTCCCCACCAGCCCACACGGCCCGCAGACCGGCAAAGCACCGACCGCGCGGATCTCCCAGGGGTCCGCAGCCACCGCCGCCCGAAGCGGGGCTCGGGGATCGAACGGCTGCGGAGCCGGGAGCCCCCGCACAGCCCCGGCTGCGGAGTCCCCCTTGTCTTCGGTCCGAGGGCACCCCGTGGGTCCCCCGAGGCTGGCGGCAGCCTTGCACATTGGCCTGGAATCGTGGGACCGGCAGCCCCCGCTGAGGCGTACCCCCGGTGGACCCCCGGTGTACCCCATCACCGAGCCCAGACTCCTCGCAGGGCGGGCCCGCGGCCCGGCTGCCCCAGTAGAGGCGGGGGACGGCGGAGGCCCCCAGGGGGCCGGCCCGGGGCTCTCCGCTTCTCTGCAGACCGAGGGGCGGGGGCAGCCACCCTGCCCAGAATGGGCTGTCGGGGCCGGGGCCGGAGCGGGAAGGGCCGGGCTGGGCCGGTGGGGCCAGGCCGGGGGCCCGCGGCTGGCAGAGCAGGGCTGGCGGGGTGCCGGGGGGCCGGGCCGGGCCGGGCCGGGCGGGGCGCGGGCGGTGCCGCCGCGTTACAAGAAGCCGCGCAGTTCCAGGAACCCGAGGGCGGGCGTTGCGCCTGCTATAAGAGGCCGCCCCGGGCCGCCTCGGCAGCTTCGCCGCCGCGCACCGGCCCCGCTCTGCCGCCGAGACCGGCTCCCGCGAACCAGGTACGGCCACGGGAGGGAGTCCCAGAGAGCACGGGGGACAGCGGGGATGCCCGGACCTTCGGGAAGGGCGATCGCCGAGGACCGGGAATGCCGGTGTTGCCCGGGAAAGGGGATCGCGGGGGATGTTGGTGCCTCAGCCGGGCGATAACCGGTGGCCTGGGATAACGATGTGCCCCCGGGCGTAAGGGAGCAGGAGACCATCAGAAGCGATGCTCCTAGAGGGGGGAGAAAGCGGGAGACCGCAGGTGTGCCCGTGCTCCCGGGAAGGGAGCGCCGGTGTCGCGAGAGGACAGTCGCCGGGAACGGAGGCTGCCGGTTCCCCCGGGAAGGGAGAACCAGGGATGGGTGCTGCCGGTTCCCGGGAAGAGAGAGCTGCGCATGGGGGGCTGCCGGCTTTTCTGGGAATGAGAGCTGGGGAAGGGGATTGCCAGTAACCGGCAGCGCTGTTGCTGCGGGAGGATAACAGCCAGGGACCGGGGATGCAGGTGTTGCCGGGAAGGGAGAGTCGGGGACCGGCGTGCCGGGACTCACCGCTCTCTGTGCCGCAGGTGATGGTGTAGCAGCGGCTGCTGCTGGCAGCAGCATCCAGAGCACACGAAGCTGGCTCCCTGCGCCATGGTCACCCACAGCAAGTTCCCCGCCGCCGGGATGAGCCGCCCCCTGGACACCAGCCTGCGCCTCAAGACGTTCAGTTCCAAGAGCGAGTACCAGCTGGTGGTGAACACCGTACGCAAGCTGCAGGAGAGCGGCTTCTACTGGAGCACGGTGACAGGTGGTGAGGCCAACCTCCTGCTGAGCACCGAGCCGGCTGGCACCTTCCTCATCAGGGACAGCTCAGACCAGAGGCACTTCTTCACTCTCAGCGTCAAGACGGAGTCAGGCACCAAGAACCTGCGCATCCAGTGCGAGGGCGGCAGCTTCTCCCTGCAGAGTGATCCCCACAGCAGCCAGCCCGTGCCCCGCTTTGACTGCGTGCTCAAGCTGGTCCATCACTACATGCCACCCACACCCTGTGCCGTGCCTGAGCAGCCTGGGGGGGCCCTGCACCCCAAGCGCACCTACTACATCTACTCAGGCGGCGAGAAGATCCCCCTGGTGCTGAGCCGCCCGCTCTCCTCTAGTGTCTCCACCCTGCAGCACCTCTGCCGCAAGACCGTCAACGGGCACCTGGACTCCTATGAGAAGATGACTCAGCTGCCAGCCCCCATCAAGGAGTTCCTGGACCAGTACGATGCCCCTCTCTAAGGGGCCAGCGGAGCAAGGTCACATGCTACAAGCACAAGAACAGGGGACAGGCACAATGCCCCACCGGCACAGGAGCTGGCAGGGCATGCCGAGCCTCTCCATCCGGAAGGAGAGAGGGGGAACTGGGGCAAGCTGCCATGCGCTCAGGGCTGTGGCCAGCATAGTGCTGGGGGGACTCCTCAAGCAAGCGTGACACCTCCTCTCCACGGGGAAGAAGATGGCTCCGACCAGACTGTGGATGTTACAGTGAGCCCATTGCAAAGCCCCTGTGGGCTTGGGCAGCCAGGACGGCTCCCATAGCATGGGGGAACGTGTGCCCCGCCAACCCTATCCTGGGGACGTCCTGGTGGGAGCCCCTTCCACCCTCAGAAATGGAAAGCACTGGAGCCCAGGAGTGCCTGATCACTTTTCCTCAGTTTTAAGGGGAAGGTGGTTTTTGCCCATACTGTACCTCTTGCTGCCTCCTTGTGGGTGAAAGCTCCTTTCATATCAAGCCCCAGACTAAGAGGTCGATGCCTTTGCCCCGCGTTGCCATTTTCCAGGGGACTAAGCCTTAATATCCCCCCTGCCCCGCGGTCTGGGTTAGTGCACATCAGCTGGTGACGCCGCAGTGACGGTCCTGCTGATGTGCTGTGAAGCTGGAGGGGAAGCGTCGCGTCCCGATGCTGCTGAGTGCCACACAACCACATCTGCAAGGATCACCCCGAGGACACTGGGCCCTTGCTGCCTACAGTCACACCCCACCTCTGCCTGGCCACTCCCGCAGACCCCAGCTGTACTGCTCTGTAGGGCACCAATTCCTGCAGGAAGGCAGCAGGATCATCCCCTGGAGCATGTCATCTCGTGAGTGCTTTTCTGCGTCCGCCCAGAGAAGTGGTTGGGTTTTCTGGCTTTTTTTAATTTTTATTCTTATTTTTTTAACCGAAGGGATGTTTACAGGCCAACGTGAATCACTGTCTTTTATAAAGATTCCATCTTCACCTCCAGCCTTGAGGGCTGAGCAAAACAATGCTTGAAAATTCAACCAAAACCAAACTCAGATGAAACTTTGCACATATTTATATTTATATTCAGAAAGAAAATGTTTCCATAATTTATAATAAAGAGCACTATTTTTTAATGAAAACCATCAGATTTGGTTTGATTTCTCTTTTGCACCCCTGAGGCCGCTTGGCCCCGGCACAATGCTGGGATGTGTTTACACCACGTAAGCACCGTTTCCTGGAGCTGCTGTCCACGCCGGGTGATCCCGCCGGTGACTCAGCCCGGCTGCGTAAGCTCTGTCCCAGCACTCAGGTATGTCTGAGCCCTGCGACGTCCTGCGCCTGCCAAGCCACGAGGATGGGATCTGCCCCCGGCTCGCACACATGCTGCAACCACGGGACAGCAGACACGGCCCTGGGCACAGGAGGGGCCGAGCTGGTGGCCGAGGCTGGCCTGTGGCACAGCCCCAGTGCAGTGCTCCTGAGGGGCCGAGCGAGTCCTGCCTTCCCTAGCTCTGCTTTGGCACACGCCAGGGTGAGGAGCTGCAGGAGCAGCAGTGGGTGGGAAAGGGCCTGCAGGTGCTCCCCCGGGAGTGTAGTGGGCTCGGGGTAGTGGGTGCCAAGATGCTGCTCACCCCCACAGCACAGAGAGAAAACCTCTGTCCTGTGCAGAACCCCAGCTGGGCACAGATGCCCAAGGGAGAGGAGAGGTTTCAGTTCTCCTGGGGATGTCCTTGCCCCCAGAAGCGCCTGTCCTCTGCTGCTAGGGGCGTGAAGTAGGCACGGGAATAAACCTGCAGCTGCGTCTGGCTGGTGTGCAGCGCAGTGCCTGGCTGAAGAGCTGAATGCAGGGATGTGAGCGATCCCCTGGGAGCAGGTCAGCCCCCAGAGCTCCCCCAGAGCCCCTGCCTGTGAGGAGCAGGCTGTGCCCAGGCCCCAGACTGCAGTCTCCACACTGTAGCATTATGCCTGGCATCATGAGCAGTGCTCCCGCCCCCACGGGGAACCCCGGCTCCTGGGAAAAGGATTTCCTTAGGAATCAGCCTGGACCAAGGGATGGTGAGTGTGCCGGTCCAGGCTGTGGGCATGGCACAGTCCCAGTTACTATTTTGGGGCCGCTACATGTGGCTGTGGCATGCGTGCTGCCAGAAGTGCCACGGCCTGCCCAGGCACCCGCTACAGCTATGCAAGGAATGTCCACGCGCAGGGGTGGCCGCCTGCCAGGCCCTGCCGAGGCACATCCCCGAGTTTAGGGCTCCCAGCAGCACCGGTGACTCCCAGCCTGTGCGGGGTGGGAGCAGTGCTGCCGGCGCTGCAGCCCCCAGCTGGCAGGAGCATCACCACTCCCCCAGGCAGGATGAAGTGAATCAGGGGATGAAAATCAGGGCTCTGGGGGTTTATGAGCACACCCAGCCCTCCTGGCAGAGCAAGGGGTTCACAGCACCCCAGGGTGGGGCAGAGTGGGAAGCTGTCCCCAGGGACAGCAGCCAGGCTGCCCACAGTGACCCTACCCATGTCCTTCCAGCCAGACCCCAGCCTTCCCATCTCTGTGGGAACAGCCCCAGCTTCTTCACTTCCCAGAATGGCCCTGGCATTGCTGACCAAGGGCCTCTTCCCTCGCGGTGCTGCAACCCGCGGCTGAATCAAGAATCCGGGAAGCTCCGCCAGCCCCTCGGGTTTCTTGGAACAAAGCCAAGCTCGCGGCAGCAGTGACGCGGCGGCCGGCGGGCAAATCCCTGCTGAAGGTTTCACAAACCTCTCCCTGCTCCAGAGCAGCTGAGCGGACTTGGCCCTGTGTTTCGTAAGCACTCTATCAAACACGTCCCACAGCCAGTTCCCCTCTGCCCTTCGCCAGGGCTGGGGCAGCTG